CCCATGCTACATTTGTTATATTAGCTCCTGGTGGAGATTCCTTCTCAAACCAAGGAACTCCAAGTGTCTTTTGCTACCAAGCTAGGCTGATGCAGGATGTGATTTAACATGGTCAGGAAGGACTCCTTCATGTGTCCATCTCTAGGTCATGTACCTTCTGAACACCAGTCTTTGTGCTCAGTTGAAAAATGGGTCCAAATCTTCTTCCATGTTGACATCAGGCACCAGCTGATCCGATACTTCCTTAGCACCGTATCCTGAATTAGATACATTAAAATCTGTAGAAAACCAAGGATGGTCCAGAATTTCTTGTGAAGTCAGCCTTTCTGATGGCTCCCGACGCAGTATGCTACGTATAAGGCATTTTGCCTTGGGGGATAGAGTCTCTGGAATGTTAAACTGCCCACGACGAATCTTGCTGAAGAGAGAACTAGGCTCAATGTCATGGAAAGGATAGCGTCCAACTAACATCGTGTAAAGCATGACTCCTAGACTCCAAACGTCTGCTGCCTTGCCAGAGTAGCTGCCGTTCGTATTCAAGATCTCTGGACTCACATATGCCGGACATCCATGCTTATCAGAGAGAGAGTCGTCATTTCCCCTTAAAATATAAGCATCTTCCAGGCTTTCCAATTTCACTCTAGTCCTGTAGGAAGAGAGGGAGAGAGAGAGAGAGAGAGGGAGAGAGAGAGAGAGAGAGAGCGCCACCCATCATTAGATTCACTGATACATTTCAGTCTGTTATAATTACATTAGGTAATAGTGTTTAATAAGATCAATCATCATAAAAGATGCATCACTTTAAATGCCTATCCATAAGATTTTCTTGAGATATGGCATTGTTTCCTCCATACAACTCAGGGACAAAAAACAACTTAGCAACATTTGTTTTCCCTTTTCTCCAGGCATACACATACAAGACTTCAGTTCACTATACTCAGCTATGTATAAAAAGCGGTTACAAACTTCTTGATAAAACTGAATCATTGTTTTGAGTATCCTTTCAATGAGTTTTTACTAATGCAACAAAAACAAGCAGGTTGGGGGTGGGGGTGCGACACGAGAACTTGTTCCAATAATCTCCTCTCTCTACACTTTCTAACCAGTTGTGGCCAGAACACGTAAGTCTGGTAGACTGGTAGGTCAATCCTGCAACTACAGTTGTAGAAGCTTTTCTACATTTCTCAGGTTTGAAGTACTGATTTTGCCCTTCTCATTATCAAGCTTTCCTTGCTCAAGTTAGGGTGCTTATGCCTGGTTTTCAAGGCCTGGCTACCCATTTCATTGGAAACCCAAGTCTACCCATGTACAAGCTCTTCTTAAAATTTTGTAAAGGAATGCTCTCAAGAGGTTCAGAACCACAGAAAAAGTCTCTATTACAAGCAAAATCCTGCATTTGCATTTGGTAAAACCAGGTCTGCGGCAATATCCAAATGGGGATAAAAAGCTCTGAATCAAAAGGCAGCTAGGGCAGCAATAATCTGCTTTCAAGAACACATCTCTTTTCCTCGCACCTTACAAGGTAGATCCTCATTAAAAGGGCAAGCCTGCAACTCTCACAGACACTCCTTGTGAGCATTAGCTTGTACCAGTATTCCCACTGCATTCAGCAGAAGTAACGTATGCCCCCACTCATCACAGTCTCTAGTATACACTACAGGAAGAATGAGGTTTGCCAGGAAAAAACAAAAAACCAAACCAACCAAAATGACACAAAAACAACAAAGAAAAAACCTAAAAACAAAACCCCAACAACACTCCTTTAAACAAAAATGAAGTAAACTAGGTGCACTAAAAATGGAATTTAAGGGACCAACACAGGTCAGAATAATCTGAGAACAAAAGAAAAAAAAAGCAGATCTGTGTGACAGATAAGGTACACGGGTTAATGTATTTATATTTATTTTCTTTTAGATTTATCCCCTGCCCAAGCCAAAATGCTCATGAAAGCTTGTCATAAACAAACTGAGCTTGCTCTCATGAAAACTTATGCATCTCTGATTTAGTCTTTCCCTGCCTCCAAACCTGAGACTCCACCCCAACCCTCTGCAACCATTGCCTCCTTGTCCAATACCGCACAAGCAAACCATTCCACCAATCCTCACCACCCCTCACATCCAGACACAAGAATCCTCCCCCCAAACCCTGTCCACTTCCCTGCCACTCCTGGGAAGATCTCCCCACCCTCCCAGTGTCCCCCTTCAAGCCTGCACTCCCTTTCCTTAGGGGGGCTGCAGTTGTCGCTCCTCTTTCCAAACATACACATGCCACTTCTCCCTGTCCCCCAACTAGCACAGAACTAATTCCAAAGAACCCCAACAAAACAAATAGAAGAAAGATACCTCCCCCCCCATCCTCATCAGTCACTGCCAAAGGGTGGTCTTAAATCCTGCCCATCCAGGCAGGCCTGCTGGATTTGTAGGTCCTGAAGTCTGCCCGGGTCCTTCTCCCTCCTTCAGATGGCCAAGATGATGCCTGGATTGGGCCCCAGCCCACCCCAGAAAGGGGGGGGGGGGGGGGGG